CTGCCAAATTAAAAAGGTGCGTATCACCACATTTGATAATTTCTAGTTACAACCAAAAACCTTAACTCACGTCCGGGACATCAATCTCGACCAGGCTAGGGAGGCCAATGAGAATATTTCGTATTTCCCGAAGAATCTGAAATATAATACAGCCTAGTGTGAATCAAACATAATAAAAAAAACAAATCATCGGTTTAGATTATTTAGACGAACTTACGAGCAGAGCATACTTCTTATGCAGATGCTTTTGTTTTTTATAACATTCTAAAAGCGCGAGCATGAAAGATTCTGTGACAATATAAGAATAAGATTCGTCATTTGTTGGTGATTCTCTTCGTTCAAGATGCGGCCCGTCATAACTTGGCTCAACAATAATGGATGAGAGATCCACTGTGTCAATGAGTGAAGCTTTTTCGTCCACTGCTATTGCTTTGGCAAAAGCCTTCAGCCTGGCAATCTTCTGACATTCTGTAAGCTTCACTCTAGCATCCTTGTCACCAGGGGCTACTCTGACAACCTGATTAATAAAAATATATATAAGCATTGCAACGAAAGTGAATAATAGTGCTCAGTCATATCCCAATAAGCTCCAAACAAAAACAATGCTTACCGCCTCAAAATCATCCTGCGCCTCTCTAAACTTTCCAAGAGCCATATTTGCGGATGCTTTTCGATAGTATCCCTAAATTTTTCGAATAAACTAAATAAAACCTTGATGTATGTATTATCGAGTTCTATTGCCTTGGACGCATCATTAAGGGCATACCCAAAACATTCCGTCTTTAAATAAGCAAGGCTTCTATTAGCGTAATAAATGGCCGACTCCTCATGTTCAATTGCTTTGGTGTAGGATGCAATAGCTTTATCAAAGTCACCAGCTAGGAAGCATTGCTAAGATTATGATTGCAACAAACCTTTGAAATAAGAATTAGCTTCGGCCTTACAAGCTTCCGCTTTCTCGTGCAAATCATCAAATGTCATTCTTAATTCAGAGGTAATAACAACCAAAGGAGGAGGGAAGACGAATTCGGGAGCGTGCAACGAGCAAGTCAAAAGTGCTGAGTTGCACTTGGAAAATTGCGATTTATAAATTAAACCTTCTATGGGTTTTTATGCATAATTAATTCCAATACAATCATTTAGTTAAAATATTATTATTTAATAATTAATCTAAATATCATGCATTAACCAAATTTTCGAGAAAGTGGACGAACATATTACTCTACAAGTAAAAAATATTATTAAATAAAATAATATTATTACTTTGTGTGTTTCTATAACACCCGCAATGTGCACTTAGATAGTTGTTGAAGGGTACATAAGCTCAATTCCGCTAATCTACCTCAATCGTTTAGCATGCAATTCCGTTGCTTTGACCTCATATGCTAAATATCTTAGCATATAATTATTCCAACTAGACTTACCTCCATTTGCTATTGTAATGATATATCCTTTGGGAGACTTTTGCTAACAACTTACATTCCTTACCAAATTGGGCAATAATTGTCAGTCAAAATTTCTAAAAAGTGATCCTATAAGGAGAAAAGGAGGTAGTTACGCTTGCTAGCTGCAAAAGATAAAACCCTATGGTTGGCATAGTAATTGAAACTTACAGAAATATTCGATTACATTTGAATACTTAACTATGCAATCGAGTTTAGGCTGCTTATATAAGACATAACGAATAGGTCTACGGTGCTAGTTTTTATTAGTGTAA